AAATTAAAGAAAAGATTAGGAAAGATAATTACCGTAAAAGATTAGAAAAAGCAAATAGTTATTATGAAGGTATCGAAAAAAATTTTGATTTATAAATTTTATAATTAACATAACTTATATTAAGTTATATTTAATATGATAATTAATTAATTAATTACGTAAATTTTTTTAGAGTCATTACAAGATGCAGAAGAAATAAAAAGAATTAATTTAGAACGAAATCTCAAATATTTCACTTTCAATCCAAAAGGAATAAATGATTAATAAAAATTAGATATTTTATAATAATAAAATCATTCGATAACGATAATTTATCAAAATCATTCGATAATTTATCGTTATTAATTATTTTTTTTTTTTTGGGGGGGGGGGGCTTGAAATTTAATGAATATACAAGTTTTAACGATATCGATATGCAGTATGTTGATATAGTGTCAAGAAGGTAACTATCCATAATGCTACTGTAACCAATAAAGTTATATATAATAGATACCTTCTTGATGTCTAAGCAGTGTTTTTGTACAGAAAATTTTTTTTTATACGTAAGTTAAATGTTATTCTAATTTTTGTGCAGCACAACGAATTTTTAACACAGTGTCCAAGTCGAGGCTTGTTGAAACCTGTAATTTGATAAATTGAAGATGGCAATAGGCTAATGATAACGATAATGATAATACGTATTAGCGTTAGCATTAGTGTGAGCCATTTGGACAATACAGGTAATTAGGTCCTTAAAAAAGCAAAGACCTTACTTATCATTATGATAACAAGTTATTAAAGTACAGTTGCACACCCAAGACTATTTAAGGGGTGAGAAAGTGTTAAAAATATGAGATTCGATCACTGATACACATTCATAATACCACCGTGTCAATTTTTTTTCTTCATACAATAACGTTATTATCGTCCGGCAGTTGTTACTGTCATTTTTTAATCTTTAATGATATAGTGAATGATATATTTCTTTGAACATATTTAATAAGTTTTATTTTTCTTTAAATGATTTTTATATATGGAATTTTTTAGCGTTAGTGTTATCAGTTATTACAGTACTATTAGTTTTAGAACAGAATAAAAAAGATCAAAATTTGGTATGACAGTAACAACATAGCCGTATGATATTATATATTTTAAGAAGAATAAATGAAATCTAGCACAGCATTATCGGGAAATGAAATGGTTTGTGAGTCACTTTTTAGAGTCAAATATCATACGATGTGAGTGTAGTAACAAGTACGTACGTAACATATAAAGTCAGCTGTCAAAATAATTAGATTTTTTTATTGTCTAACGTTACAAAAACGCTAATTGATCAATTATGATAGTTACATGTGAAAATTAATATCCAACAATCAAAATTAATATAATTTTTATATTGATGGTATAATTTTTAATACAAGAGAGACAAAAAGATAATACGTATAAAAAAATATAATCAATATATTTTGTAATTGATAAATTTTTGAATTTTTTTTTTTTTTTTGCTATTTTAAATAATCAAAAAAGGTATAACTATTAGCAATATATAAAATAAAATGTAACATGAATTGGGTAAACATAAAGAAATCACGTTAAATGAATTTAATGTTTTGGTTGTCTTTCTTCAGCTTTCCTAATAGATTCATATAATATGCGAGTACAAGCAAAAGCACTTGGTGGAGGCTTTCCGCATAAAATTTCCTCAGCTGAAATATCTTTTTCATAGAATGTTTTGTTTGTATCCTTGCGTTCAAAGATGATGGTACCTTCAAGTGATACACCTGTTAAAAAAATTTATATTAAATTAATGAATTAATTATTAATGATAAAAATAAATTAATTGATTTTAATTAAAAAAAATTGATTTAATAAATTTATTTAAGAATGTACCAGCAAAGAGACCCTTGGATTTGCTGTAAGAAAAGAGGGCAGCACCTTCATAAACGGAACCAGAGACTTCGCCTCCGAAACCAACAGGACCAGCGGTTACTAATAATTTATATAAAGACAATCAATTATATGTAATTATTGGGAATTCTAATGAATGAGTATAAATCAAATAAACTTACCAGATAAACTTCCTGTATGGAAGGTAAGATAAAGGAGGTTGTTAGATAACTTGAACAAACTAATAACAATAACAAGAATAATATAAAATGATATAATTACCGCCCAAGGTAACATTTTCACCACGAGAGAATGCCTTTACAGCTTCTTTGGTATTAAGAACGATTACAAAGTCAGTGACGTCAGCGCCAAATTGCGCGCCAAAACCCTAACAAAATATTATCAAATGTTAAAAGCCAGACACTTTTTGGGTAGGAGAGATACGAGGTAAAAGAAAAACTTACCAATCCACCAATACTGATACAAGATGGAGCAGACCAAGCTATATATCGTAAAAAAGAAATATAATAAACAATTTGTATAAATTATATATATAAATTTGTAAAACCATTAAATTTACTTACTTCCATCATCGAGTCTACACGGTAAATAAAATAATAGTTAAAACTATATATAGCAAAAAAAAACTAATACACCAAATAATTAAAAGCAAAATAATGATAACATAAACTCACTTAGCAATAACCAAACCCGATCCGACGCGTCCAGACCATACGAACCCAGCCTTTACAACGGTAAAGACAGCTAAACCCATGGCTTTATCAAAAACATCCTTGGGAATTACTTGATCCAAACCACCTTCAGCCTTTTCCGGATCTTAAAAAAACATGAAATATATAATAATACAATTAATAAAAAAATCGATAAATAAATATATTCATATATATATATTCATATAATCACCAGTAAAGCTATTCAAGATATTAGTAGCTTTTGTGACTTCAGCGGCAAAATCACCAGGTAAAGGAGAATTTATGTTATGGTTTTGTGCGGATTTTGATATATCTGCACTAACTTCTGAAACAGTTTTGGTAATTTGGGTCTTTCCGTCTTGTAAAGTGGTTTTAAATTTATTAAGATATTCGGACATGTTGATTATCAGTTATTATTTTTTATATTTTCTTAAAAAAAAAACGAGCAATTGAAAATTTAAAAATATAAAAATATAAAAATTTTTTTAAAAAAAATGCGTGAAAAAGCGTGAGAGAAATTTAGGGCTATTTATTAAGATATTAATTAAAGCTGCGCGTGTTGTAAGAACAAACATATGATTTTTCAAAATAATATTATTACATGACGTAAAAGTGATACAAGGGCTGAATGAATAAAAGAAGCGTCTTTTTCACATTTTTCACATTTTGTGTATGTATCATTTGATAATAGCGATAGGCTGGGCCCGTCTTAGCTCAAAACCTGACTGTTAACACAACATAATCATAAGCTTATTACAGTATTAAGAATTATCTATAAATGATTAACCAGTGTCACTTTATGACTTTGATCTCCTGATACATATATAACCGATATATTGATCGATATTTATATCGATATTATTA